GTGGCCATTATCCTGAATTTCTTCGTGTCTTGTGAGACATCTTCTAGGCCAGCTTTTCCCATCTCAATGCTAGTTCTACAGATGTGTTGGACTGCATGTCGCACAATACCCAGACAGGTTGATTGGGGATATTCCAGACAGCACAAGCCCAAGCTCTAAAACCACGATGAGCCCTAAAAGCATCAGTCTGCAGACTCCTGGGGGCCACCAGCTTGAATGAGATTTTTCTAGGCACCAGGGGTACCTTCGGTGAAGTGACTCCCCATCCTTTCTCTCTTTTTTTCTTGTACTTTAGAGAAGCCCTTTGATCCCACCTACTTCCTCAGCCGGGCTGTCTCTAACATCATTTGCTCCATTGTCTTTGGTAATCGTTTTGACTATGAAGACAAGGATTTCCAGGCCCTCTTGGAGATGTTGAACAACAGCTTTCGGGAAATGAGCACGGCCGGGGCCCAGGTACCCCAAATCCTCCTCCTTCTGCTAACTGGAAAAAGGAGGTGGATCACCTCCACCTACCAACAGAGGAAAAGGTTTCCACCCCAAAAATTTTGATCTAATCTTGACAGTACCATGCTAGATCCATAAGTTCTTCACATGTATTTGGCTGATTGTTTAATGCACTGGTTTCTTTACCTTTTCCAAGTCATCATAAGTTGGAAATGACTTGAAGGCACACAACAACAAAAAGAAAGAGAGAAAGAGCATGGCGCAGTGGTTTGAGTGCTTGACTACAATTCTGGAGACCAGGGTTCAATTCCCAGTTCAGCCATGAAACCCAGTTGGTGACCTTGGGCAAGTCACATGCTCACAGCCTCAAGGGAAGGCAATGGTAAACCTCGTCTAAACAAATCTTGCCAGGAAAACCTGGGTCACCATAAGTTGGAAATGACTTGAAGGCACACAACAATAAATATATATATTAGTGAGTACTGTCCTCAAATCTCCAGTTGACAACCTAGCATTACATACTTATAAATCCAAGTGTTGCAGCCTCTCTAGATTTTATCACATGAGCCTAGAAGGGAAGTTTTAACAAGATAAATGCATCTTCAGCTGTTATTTATCACAAGACATTGTGTCTGTCCTGATACTGCCTTGCCTTCTATTTGATATGGTAAAAATAATAGGAAGAGATAACAGGCTGGTGTGACAGAGTCCTCTGTTTATCACAAGAAGGCCTACAGGAAAGAATAATCGATTTTTTTTTTTGCCCCTTTGTCACCATCTCCAGAAATCCTCTTCAGGCAAATTAAAGAAATATTGTGAATGTCATGAAGGCATACTGCAAGTCATTTATTTGGCAGGTCTTCTCTCTCCCTGCAGTTCTATGACATCTATGACAGCTATCTGAAGTACTTTCCAGGACCTCACACCAAGATCTATGACTTCCTAGAAGGCATCAGGCTCTTCATTGCCAAGAGAGTGAAGAAGAACCAGGAGACTCTTGACCCCAACGTCCCACGGGACTTTATAGACTGTTTTCTCATCCAGATGGAAAAGGTATCATATTATCATTTCCAGGGAGGGAACACCAAGAACTTGATTGTAGAGGGCACAACAGGAACAGAAGTGGTACATCTGTACTGTAACCAGATGCATTTAAGCAACAAAAATATCTCACATCTTCCTCCTCCTTTGCTCTCCACTCTTGCTGTTCCATCCCCATATTAGTTCCTTCTGTCCAGTGATCTGTTACCGTTTTCTGACACTCTCCCTATAGATCCTGCCCTCCTCTTCCTTCCTACCCTCAGCAGACTTCTTCCCATTCCCTGCCAGTGGCCCTACCTTTCACCTCTCCACTCCAACCTCCCCTGCTGTCCTTCCACTTTTATTTTCCTTGCTTTGGCTACTGCAATACATTTTAAATGTAATAAATGGGGGTGATGCAAATTGAGACTCATCCATACGTAGGAAATTTCATTCTCCTCCAAGGTTTTGAAAAACACAGACGATTACACGCCATTTCACCAGATCTCATTGACCCAG